ATCTGCATTTGGCAATCAATTAATATAATCAAATTTTGCTTCTTATATTGCTCACATCTTTACAATCATCATGATCTATGCCTATTAACATTTTATGTACTAATAATTGTCAAGAAATTAAACATTATTTGTTAAACATTGAAAGAAGTAAATTTTCAACAAAATCTATCCATTGTAATTTACATAGATGTTTATGATCATATTGCAAAACTACTATTATAACATTATATTATTTATAAGTGATTAACAAATATCACACTTTACCTAAATCTTTTCTCTGCATGATTAGCTGTGCCACTGTCCATCTCATTCCAGCCAAAAAAGATGCACTCAATACCAAGAGAAAGCCTTGGAGGTTGAATTCTGTGGAATGGTATGTAAACATGAAAAGACCTACACTTATCAGGAAGACCACACCTACAAGGGACAGCCTCTAGAAAGAAATATACAATGTTCATTATAAAATTTGTTTCATTATTTTCTGTTTTTTTATGCTCTTTTGATTATGAACTTAAAGATACATTGTAATATACAGATTGACATTACTGCGCAACACTACAACATAAAGGCAATTCTTAGATTTTATAAAAACAAATTATATTCAGTTATAAATAATGGGCCAGAAAAATGTTTCAATGTTAAGTAAGTTTGTTTTTCGGTCATAAAATTATTGGACTATCCTTAGTGATTTCTTTAAAAAAAATTCAGCTGTTATAATACAAAATCGTCCTAATCCTGGTGCTTGGCTAATACCATTCTAGCGGAGCTAGATCCTAGTAGATGAGTTAACAGAATGCTTACTTTACAGTTTTCTTTACTTGTGGTTTCTGTTTAATATTACACAAGTTCATATAGTATAAACTGAATTTTTTTTGTTTAGAACAATATTCAAGTTACACCCGTTGATTCTCAGGGAAACATACTTCCTATTCTTAACTTTCACATTTTTTTAGTGATTTACATCTAAAAACATTTAATGGTAAAATGCTCAACATTATTAAAACATACAAACTAATTACACATGTATTGACCAAATGAGTTTAGCTAAATTAAATTTATTTTATACATTTTTTCTGTGTAATTATTACACACTAGTCATTATATAATGCAGGTACAATAATAAAAAAGAAACTATTTTTCTACAGATCACTTTTACACTTTTCTTTAGTTTCTATATACATATTACACTCAATCTTGAAAATTGGTTATCAACCAAAAGAATGATCAAAGATCAAGCTGAAAAGTAATTTGTGTTTGTGCAAATTGGGCTTTGAGCACTGAACTGCAATTTGTTTACACAAAGACCTAAGCAGATGTATCATTTTCTCTTTTGTATTCTTTATTTATTTATATGCATCACTTATTTTGCATACCACAAGCCTTGAAACTCCCATTTACTATATTATCAAATGGTTCACTGTGTCTTTGCGTGTAAATCATCATGTAACAACCCTCCACCAATAGGCGTACGATACACCCTCCTGATGCACGTGACTCCCTCTACTTAATTCTAACTAACAAGCACTTCGAGATTAGGCAGAATTTAAGCACCAGTTTAGGTGGAGAGGAAGGGTGAGAAGTGTAGGCAGAGGTAATTACCTATCAGAAATATCTTTTCAGTGTAGGAAAATAATAACTTCTGATATGGTACCTTACCTATTCTCACACAACAGCTAGAATCCCACATTGTAGAGGTGGAGAGACTGGTGCAAGGGATATAGATAAGCATTCTTCGAAAGCATCCAAAGAACACCCATGGAGTGTAAACCTCTGTTGGGTGAGGAACACAGGTGGAAGACTGCACCACTTCTATACCAGGTATACTCTTTGCCCAGTATGGTAGAAGATGTCACATAAACTGTCAAAAATTGGGAGGAGCACATAATAGAAATAAGAAAAAACTGGGTGGTTCTGACCCCATATCCCATTGAAATCACTGGAATCATTGTCCAGGATAAGAATGAAAGTAGGGACCCCAGCCAAAGATTGGAATGTGAGGAAAGCTAAAATGGATGTGTCCCTTAATGTAGAGTGGCTAGGGTGTGACAGACCATATTCGGCAGGTCAACTCCAGTCAAAAATCAGATGGCATCAGGCATATATAATCCTACTTGTGGTAGGAGGAAGGTCCACACCATCTCCATCTCAAGTTGGGTAGAACAGAAGGAGGAGAAAATTTCCATACCAGTCTACTAAACAGGTCACATGTGCATAAATTGGGGAAAGAAATGCAGTGGAGAGTCTGGAGGAACATCAACATTGGAGCCAGTGTAACGGGTGACCATGAAAACCCATTTTGAAAGAGCAGATCACCCCTGATTCAGTCATTCGAAGGGATGGCAAGAATGGGCAGCAATCCTCTTCTGTTTTATCCATGAAGGTCTATGGGTTAGTATGGTCTGGAATGGGGATGTGAAAGTAGCAAACTACTAGCAATCTTGTGGAACACTCCATCTCTTCAGTGTGTGCTACTGGCCATGGGTATACATCGAAATTGGTGGGAAGAGCCAAAGATAATTTTGGTGGGACATCCCATGCAACCCTCACCAAGCTACCCTGCACAGCATCATCTTCTAGGGCCTTACCCCAATGAGGTGGAGTGTCAGGAGTAGCTGGGAGTGCCCTGCATAACATCATCCTAAGGATATGACCACACAGAGAATGTCCTGAGTAAGCTCAGTCCACAGAATGATTATAGTCAGAACCACAAAACATCAACCTCGAGGACCCACCACACGGAGGTGGATTGGATGAGTCACTAGGCAGCAGATAATATACCCTGGTGTGACTTATGGTTGGCCATACAATGTGAATTTTTGGAATGAATAGGGAAATAGCATAGCTGGACAAGCAACACTCACCACTGAATGGGATCCTAGAGCTGAAAAGGACATGCCACTGTAAGTAAAAGGAATATTTTTGAAAAGGAGAACTTACCTAGTCACAATCAAACTGATATCTTAAAGATGATGACAGGCAGAAGGCAGCACCCTGATCAGAGAGAAATAGCCACCCAATGAAGGTAGTGAGAGATAAATGTATGAGGTGCTGTCCACATACCCAAATGAAGAATTTCCTCCAATGGACGACAGAGGTGCGATGCCAGGGAAAAGGCATACCATACCTGTTGCGATGAGACCTAGAACAAATTGCGGGAAGTAGGAGATAGGGAGGAATATACTAGTCGAATTAGCTGATGAACCCAACCTGTCAGAGTTGAAGGAGAAAGGTCACATAAAGAGAAAAGGTTCCAGGGAGTGAAGAGGTGGAATTGGGAACCATGGAAGGAGGCTATGTGGGCAATATAACAACAAAGAGAACAGATTGGACATAGAAGTCTATCCAGATCAGACCAAGAATAAAGGTGGGAAATGGAAAGAAGGGAAATTGTCAAGAATGTAGGATGTCCCTCACAAGCAGCCATATTTTTGGGTAGGAAAGACAGATCTGGGTAAAGTAGAGCATACGTGGAATGAAACAGAGTACTTGAAATGTTGGGGGCAAAGATATCAGACCAATGACACTGACCGACTAAAAGGAGGAAGAAATATGTTTTAAGGCATAGGTGATACAGGGAACAGGAGGACAATAGTTCAAATGGAGGAAATGTGAGACAGTGAAAAACAATATTTAAATTCCAATCAGGAAGAACCACCTGATGAGGAGGTTGATGAATCTGGAAGGAACACAATAAAAGGGAGACAGTAGGAGAGGAAAACACAATGTGGTACTTGGAAAAAACGGAAAGTGTTGGACAAGGCTGCTTGATAACTAGCAATAGAAAAGACAGTAGCCCATGGTCAAACAGCCAAGTAGAAAATCCATAAGGAGAGGAACAGTGGCCAAAGAATAGGAAAACCCATGGCTTAAGGACCATTTGTTCAACTTACATTGATAAACTGCAGGGGAGGAAGGGCGAATGGACTGGGCTAGAAAGGAAGTGACACACACACTGATGACCTGGATCTCTTTGTGAGGGACCAGATAAATGCCAGGCATGAAGACAGAAGGTTTGAAGAGAAAGATGAAGGACTGGTGACAAAGGTTGATGTAGGAGGGATGAAGTCAGCAGAAAAGGTAATGGGGGTAGTTTGCAGTTGAAGGAGAATAGGAACAAAGGTTGTGCCAGCTAGTACAGACCAATCAGAAGGACCTGGCATGATATTGAATGGATGACCGAAATCAGACTGGGAAGGAGTCAGTAGGGAGGGTAAGCATAAAGGTACTGGTTGGTCCAATCCTGACTGAGAGCAGCCACTGCCAGGGTTTGTGGATGAGGAACTGGCAAAAGCATCAAGATGAGGAGTACCTCATTTATTGCAAAGCCACTGGAAAACCTGAGGGTTGAGGTAAATATGATCACATCGAGAAAGAGGATCTGTCACAAGATTAAAAGCATCCAAAATATGAGATGCTATGAGACATGTCTGAACCACATAAGCCCAATAATGTAATTCCAATGTTCGACCACAAACGGAACAGGTGCCTTCTTGGTGATCGATATAAGAGAGAATAGTAGCATTGTCTGAATGGATCATGACGAGTTTGTTACTTGCAATAAAAAGAAAATGATACAATGCACTTCATACTGTGAAAAGCTCAAAGATGTCAATATGGTATGACATTTCTATCTGAGACCATTGTCCAGAAGCCTCCTGCTGATCGACTCATGCCCCCCAACCCCAGAGAGAAGCATCGGTGAATAGATGCAGATCCAGAGAAGGAAGCAATACCACCAACATAGTGTTGTCTTTGTTCAACCACCAATGAAGATAATTGAGAAGGGGAGGGGAAAGAGTAATTGGAGAGTCTTTGGGTTTGGGTTTGAACTACTGACAAAGGTGAACAAAATTGGACAGGCATGCCCCTACTGGACTGGGAACCACCCGATAGTCACCAGAACTTTTGGCAGCAATGATCACTATGGGGAGCCAAGCAATGAAGTGACATATCCCTGGAGGAAGGAACAGGCAAAGGATGGGAGTGAGCAAGTCAGGAAACAGGTATAGAAGATGGTATGGTATCCAGCTGAGACAAACAAGCAACCAAAGAAGAAAGGATTGAGTGTTGCCTCCCAAATTCCACATGTGTCTCCAAACATTCAGGAATATCTCCACAAACAGACCTATGGAGCCATACCAAGGAGATTTTATCAGCACAAAAAAACATCTGTGAAGGGATAGGGCAAAAGAGGATGTTGAGATAATGAGGGAACCCCAGTTGTTGGGAATCGAGAAAGGGATGATTGGCCTGATGATAAGCCAATGCATAATGACCAGAAACCCATGGTGGACAAGTCATGGTGGCACCATCCCTCAATTGAAATGCTCAGCATGTACCCTGATATCAGGAGAAGGAGGGAAGACAAGGCATTCAGACAATGGGGTGTCACGTAACAAGCAAAGGACAGGATCATATGAAATTGGGAAATAGATAAAATGTAACAAACCTGAGAAATCATGTCTAAAAAGGCTGAGGGAGGCCTGGCTAATTCCCCAGGAGAGACATGGGAGTGTATGGCATGAGTAGGAGACAGAAAAAGTCTATCAAAATCCTCCTCCTCATGAACAGATCCGTCAGAACAGTCAGGAGAAGAGGTTCCACTCATGTAAAGATCAATCTTCTGACAAACGATGGCTCAAAAATCCCCAGCTGAGACCCCCCTTACCTGAAGCCTGTGTAACAACACTTGAAGTAGTAGGAATAGAAGCTAAGGTCATGACACAAAATTCCAAATTCATGATTGACTGTCAAAGAATCGAAAAAGTAATAAAAAAACACACACCAGAGAGTGGGAAAGACAATCAAAGAAAAGAAATAAAAAATACCCTCCTTCTCCTTCATCCTGGTCACTTTCATTCCCAGAATCCATTTCAAAAAGCTTAGCTCAGAACGAATGTCAGGTGGTGTCACTCCTGCTTCTGGCTCTTTCTCATACACTTTCATTCTTAGAGGTAACATTTTTTCCAATCCTATCTAATCTACTTGATAGTGGGTGTAATGTTAGCAATATCCTGATTTGTATATTACTTCTCTGTAGGAGTTGCTTCCCTTTATATGTCTAATTAGATCAATAATAATTACAGTGTAAATGTCTTGTGTTGCTGTATTACGTCAAAATATAGAAATCCAGCCAAAAAAATAAGTTGCAATTCTGCTTTAGCTAAAACAGTATATGACGTCTTATAAACACAGCAAATTAAACCCACTGGACACTACTCACATTGCATCATTTTATTCATTCAGTTTTGCTCCTAATTCACCTAAGAATCATCACTAAGTTACACTAAACAAAACATGATGTAGTGGATTTGGAGCCAAGCTGAATGTAAATTCAAATTTACAGAACATGAATAAAATTATGCAATTCAAATTGTGTTGAGCTGATATATTTTGCTGTTTTTATGAAATATTACCAACTGTTTTGATGTTTTTTTTATGCTCAAGTTAAAACGTTTTAGGATAATTACATTTCCTACATTATAAAGCTTTACCCAAATTGTTTTATTTTTACAATAAAAACATTAGTAAGGTAATTCTTACCTTTTTCTCTAATCCAAATAGAATTGAAAATCCCAAAATAAATATAATACATGTTGACTTGGTCATAGTATACCTGTAAATAGAATTATTAGAAATAAAAAAAACATTTGTTCATATATTGTGGTGACTATTTAAGAAAAATGAAAAATAAAAAAACAATTAAGTCAACTGTTTTCAGTTCTTCTAAACTCTTCAAACTTTTAATTTCAAGCTAATATTTAAATACATTTAGTTCAAGTCTTTGGGTTATATTTTTTAACATTGAAAAGTTTCTGACTCACAAACTGAAAAAGTGAATTCATCAAATAGATACTTTATTTAGGATCAATTAGGCCTCTCCACTTCACATACTTCAATCATTTAATTTTACTGACAACCATACTGTAATACCTATCTTGTATCTCTTTGAATTCCCTTATATTTTCTGCAAGTACATTTCAATAAGAATAGCTCACATTTGGATAACCAATATACTATTACCGAAAAACTGAAAAAAAAATGAGGAAAAGATCTAGATGTATAAATATCTTTTTGTTTGTTTCATGAAAAAAGAAGTGGAATGGAAAAAGAACATATACACCATATAATCATGTTCATAGACCACAAAATAAATGTGAAATAGATGGCCCGATGTTGGTGTATTGAAACTACTAAATTGCCCCATTGATGGAGTAGAGGCACAATCATCTAGATAATCTTGATAAGTGTGAGAGCCAAAACACATGCAAGAGAATCTGAATAACCAATATCAAAGAATGAGAGAGTGAAACGTACAATGTACATGAAAAACAATAACCATCATCCCAACAATTTTAAAGGCCCTTCAATCAGTGATAATGGAATAGTAAAATTAAAAACAAAAACTCCTGAGCTCAAACAAATTAGAACTTTTATAAAACTATGCACAAAGTGTTCATAACATTGGAAAGTCAATTAATGTTGCATATAGAAATAACCAACAAGGAACATTTCTAAAAAATGGATGAAACTCCATACAGTGGGAAAACAAAATTCGACTTTGAAGAAAAATAACGGAAATTAAGAAAACACAAGTTGTCTCAATTTAAAGTTTAATTATGAGATCACAGCAACAGATAGACCAATCTCAGATATATATGATAAGTAAAGGAAAGATAATTAAAAATAGTAGGCACACTTATGCTTGTTTTTTCAAGAATAAAGAGAAAAGAAAGTCAGAAGAAAAAAAAAGACATAAAAATACAACAGATGTATTACAACATTACTTGACAAGCATGCTGCTCTTAACACAAAAACAAAGAATCATATCTCATGAATTATAACCTGAAATAAACTCTTTATGTGACTGAGGATATGGAAGCAATGACTGAAGATGAAAAAGTTCTTATAGGTTCTATGTGGTGAAAATTTGGCATTACAAATTTTTTATTCAAAGTGATCATTGTATATCTATAGAGAAAGGACGATGATGGTAAGAAAACTTATTCTTCTCCAAAAACAATTGAGAATAAGGAATGAGTTTTAGGTTACATGTATCAGGACTCAAAATTAGCTGGGGCCTGGAAGCCAATGGCACACAAAAATGCAGATGGGCCCATAAAAAGTAGCTGCTAGGTAGCCTGCATGACCCCTTAAAATTGAAAGAGCCATTAAAAGTTTGACTCCACATAAATTTATCTAAGTGTTTCTTAACCAAGCAGAACTTATGACAAACCATGAATGAACCTTCTCAAACTCATGAACTTTCGTCAGTCATGTACAATCCACAAATGTCATCACTATGAATATCTGTGCAATGAATGTTTAGCTCGAAGACATGTGTGCTAGCTGCACTGGCATCTGATGTATACAGCATGTATAGCCTATCATGCCTAAGAAGCAGTGTGTACATGTGTGTGTGTATGCACATCAAGTAATGCGTGTTCAAGATGATGTGTCCCAAGTGTTTAATCTAAATATCTATCTGGTAGTTATTTTGATAATAAAAAGTTATAAAGAAATAATTAATCATGAGGGGTGCTAGAAGATTAAGCAATCTTCCTTCACCCTGCTCAAGATATTGGTGAAATTCGTACAGATTAAAGTTCTCTGAGGCCAATTGTGAATTACTGGGAAGAGTTAAAGTTTTAACTAAAAGATGAAAAAAATTGTAAATGAGGCATGAAGGTGGCAGAGGTGAAGACAAGTCTAAGAAACGCAGTGGTGAAGGAGAAGAAGAGAAGTCTGACAGTGATCAATAAATCAAAATGCTGAGGCTGGGATCTATAGATCTAATGCCTGAAAATTTTGTTGTGGAGGGAAATGGGAGTACCCCGAGAAAACCCACTTTTCATTGAACAGGGCTGAAGTAATACCTGTTCAGTGCCCAGGCAAAATGCATACTTGGGTTAAGTTGAAATTTCAAAAACTTGTAAGATACTAAAAAGAAGCGTATATGATGAGACATGAATTTCGATGACTTATTATTGTGTGTTGTTAACGTCCTGTATGAAATTATATGGTGATACATATTTTCTCCAGGTTTGAGGGTTGGCTGTTAGGAAGTTGCGATCTATGGCTTTAGTGTGTATGTGCCCGCTAGCTTGAGTAATCTGGATTTAACAGGTGAAAGTTCAGAGTGTTGTTCAATATAGTGTGAGGGAGTATAGCGTGAAAGGCAGTAAGCTAGTCTAGATATACAGTTTTGGAGTTTTTGAAATTTAGCGAAATTCTTTCATATTGCAGGTGATCATAGAACCACATTACATTAAGGGTCTAATGTATATGTGAAGAATGGTTTGTGGTTTGCACCCATGTATGTGATGGCTTATTTTCTTAAGGTGTGCTACTCTGGCCTGTAGTTTTTGTGGATTTCTTTAAAGTGTGAGTGCCATATGAGGTTGTGGTTAAGTGTCATGCATAAGAATTTGACTGATCAGGATAAAGTGATAGAGAAATTGTATAGTTTTAAATTTGCATTCTTAATTTTTTTGTTAAAGCTTCTGTGAAATATAATAGATTGGATCTTTTTTTGGATTGAGATTGATTCTCCATTTCTTGCAACAATTAATAATTCTGTTGATTATCTGTTTGGAGGCTGCTATTACGGGATCTCTGGAAGTGCTCCATATGGCAATATCATCTGCATATTGGGAAGGTCATTAACATATATAGTAAGATATATATAGTAGGACAGAAAAGGAGCCTTTTGGTACTCCAGTGTTGAAAGTGAATGATGAGGAAATATTGTTTTTATATCTTTACTTTGGCTGTTTTTGAGAAAGTTGGAAATCCATTTTGTAAAAGTGGTAGGAATTTTAAACTTCATAAGTTTGTATTTCAGGCTGTTATGCCAAACAGTGTCAAAAGCTTTTTGTACATCTAAGAAGGTGGTTATTGTAGCTTGAAATTTGTTAAAGCCATTGTAGGTTGTTTCAATTAATCTGACTAGCTGGTCTGAAGTTTGTATATTCTTTCTGCAAGCATTTTGAATCTGAGATAGGGTATTGTTTGATTTTAATAACCAGGGCAGTCTTGTTATTACTATTTTTTCCACTAGTTTTGATAGGCAGTTAATGAAACTAACTGGGCAAAAGTCATTGAGGTTTATGGACTTTTGGCCATTCTTGGAGTTCAATGTAATTATTGTAGACTTGCATGCTTGTGGGAAATGATATGAGGAGAGAGACAAGTTGTACTGATTTTTTAGGTATTCTAGGAGTTTAGATGAGGTATGTTTTAGAACTTTATCTTCACTAGGTGTGCTGTTTTTCCATTCTTTAAGATGTTTGAGAAAACGTAGTGAGTGTTGTTCGGAATAGTTTAGGGAAACATGAAGAATTTGTTGTCATAAGGGGTCTCAAAAGTGTCAGAGAACTATCGTGCAAAAAGGTGAGCTTGTTTTGAGCCTGTGGAAGCAGAAGTGTTTTCATAACTGATTGAACCAAAGTTGTTGCTTTCTTTGCACGTTTCTGAAAGTTTTTCAGAAAAAAGATGGGTTAATTTTAAGCTCATCTAATCTGTTGCAAAATTTGTTCCAGCTTTTTTTTTATTGTTCTCTGATGAGTTTTTTGTTTTATTGGTTAGAGTTTTAAGAGCTGATTCCTTGGTTGCTACATATTGTCCACAGAGTCTGTGTTCAGTTAAAATCAGGTTGTTTACCATGAAAAAGTAGGTGTGCAGCATTAGGTCCAAAGTAAAAAAACAAAGCAAAATTCCTTGATAGCTATTTTGGTTAAAAAACTTTTAGGTTTAGAAGGAGTATGAAAGGTATCTACGGGCAGTCAGACTGTAATTTTTCTTCACCACACTCCCAAAAACTTTGGTTGAAAACTACCAAGGCTGCAAAAAATTATGCTTTAAGATTTATGAGTGCTTTGAGGAAATAATGTGCAGCTTAATATTGTTGAAGCATGAGAGACCAATTCACAAGTATGGTTGGTGAATAAGGTAAACAAGATGAGTTGACATTCTGTAACAAATGTCAGGTATAAACAGAGACAGTGGGAAGCAGGAGACAGGAAACAGAAAGCTCGTTGAAAGAAAGAGAGATTGAGACTGAAGAAGGCTGCTCTCTGTGTATGAAGGCTTGAGTATAAAAGGTGGCTTCTGATTTTACCTTGAATTTGAAAAACACAATATGTTAAGTACAAAATATTGACTTACCAGCAATAGCTGCTGATATTGGCGAAGATGAAACAGGTGTGAAGACTGAAGGAACTAAGACCATACCAAAAATATCAAATTCAAAGTTGACATGAGTTGTATAAATAGGAGTGGTAATTAGGGTCTGACGCGACTGATTAATCAATTCTTGATAGGGGACAAATACATCTAAAACTAGCAAAGACAGTAATGTTTAAATGGGCTTCAATTTATTATAATTGATGGCAAAACAATGGAATAGCTTTGGCTGAATTAATACATAAAAATGTAATTTAAATTTTGAATAAAGAATATGAAGGGGAGTGTTTCTTCTCAGGGCAGGATCTATAGACATAATGAAAATAATTTTGCTGTGGGAGGAAACGAGAGTACCTCAAGAAAACTCACTTTCGCTAATCAAGTGCCAAATATTCTAATTGATTTGAATTGTTAAGGGTTAACTGGAGATTATGAAGCTTTTTCATACTTTTATCTATTTTCCTAAAAAAGGATATAGATTGGGATTTTGATGGGTTGAGGACTACATACTAATTGTTGCACCAATCTGGTCTGACACTGCATTGAGTGATATTTGGACCTTAAATGTTGTAGTACACGGGTGGCTAGAAGAACTCCAGATAGCAATATCGTCTGCATATTGAGATGCAAGTGTATGGTTTAAGAAAGGGAACAGGATATCATTGACAAAGAGGCCATATAATGTTAGGCTTAACACCGGCTCTGATTATGAAGGGCCTGGAGGTCATGTTGTTGAACTTAACTTTAGCTGTTCTGTTGGTGACAAAGATGGATGTCCAGTGTACAGTAGGAGTGGGTACATAATTATCGATTAGCTTACAGCAAAGGCTTTTTGGACATATCGAAAGGTAGGTATGGTTGTATGCTTTCTGTTGAAACCGTGATAAATGGTTTCGGTAAGTCTAACAAGGTGGTTGGTGGTTTATGTTTTCTGCCTGAATTCTGTATGTTGTTAATAATATTGTTGGTTTCTAGATAAGTGTTTAACTGGTTCATGATTAATTTCTCCATCAACTTACGAAGGGTGTTTAGCAAGCTAATGGGTTTGTAGCTGCTGGGATTAGTTATTATTTTATTTAGGGATAACCTTAATAATAGCCGATTTCCAAATAGATAGGTAATATCCTGATAGTAATGATAAGTTATAAATTGTACTGAGTGGGTCATGCTTTTGTTGAATAGGTTTTTTCAGGATTCGATTGTAAATTCCATTCTCTCCTGTGGCTTTGCATTTTATTTTCCTAAGGTTAATTTTGATTTCTGCTAAAGTTATAGGGCGGGTATATAAATCATAAGAACCATAAATTTGTGATATAGAATCCAGGAAGGTACTTTTAAAATATTGGGCAAAAAAGTTCAGACTGTTTGTTATTGGTAGTGGCAGTGTTGTTATTATATTGAATTATATTTATGATGATGTCTGATTTGTTGTTCATGATAGATTTAAATTTCTGCATTATGGTTTAAGCATAATGTCATGGGTTTGTATGATGTCATGTCCGAGTCTTCATTGGGTAATTATTAATTCATGAATTTTGGGAGTAAGTCAGGATTTGTTACTTTGCTAGGGATTACTTCTTTGATGGCTTGCGTTATGGCATTGATTACATCAGAGGCATAATTATTGATTTCAGTTTGGTTGTTCACAGCTGCAATGTGCCTTGTTTAAAGGCTAAGCAGTTCAGGACTCCGTGGCTTGTGAATTTGGCACATAAAAATGTTAACATTCTAAATAGTAATCGGAAACGAAAGAGGAAATACACCTGTGGAAAGAAATATTACTGCCTTATGGTCAATGTATTAGAATGTGTTAGAAGTGCTTCCTGCTGAGAAAGAATTCCATGCATAAAACTTGGAGTCTAGTCTCACCTGGTATGGCCTTGCAATAATTGGATTAGTATGTTTGCCAGTGGTTTTGTGTGTAAAGATTTAACATTTACATTACGTTTATGTAAGCAGTTATTAAAAACATAAATTGTGCGATGGAAAAAAATGGCTGTAAAAATTCAAGATTATATTTATTATTTCTAGTAAGAGTATTGGTCTTTTCTTGGTTTATGTTTTAAGAGCCATGTTTTCAATAAAAAAGATAAAAACTCCAAAATAATGGAATTTCCATAAATTTTGACACTATGGCCCAATTCAAGTTATGTAATGCTTGGCTGATGAATAGGGCTAGATACCCAGCTATAATTGGCCAATCATGAGGTGGTATCCTGAAAACTATTAGTGAAGGGGGTATTAACTGCTATGGCAACAGATTTTCAAATTGGCCAAAAAACACATCTGCTTGGAACAATTATGGGCTGATCACGCTAAGAGACCACTAATAGAGTTTTCAGATTCATATTTTCTTAATCACTAATTGTCTAATAGTTTTCACATTCTCTTTTTGTCCTATTTTACAGAATATTATGCCACTGTCTTTATCATAGTGTAACCAGTTATTATCCCTCTCCCACTTGCCACTGTAACAACTTTTTCTTTCTTCCTTTTCATACTCATGGTCCCGTTACTTTATTTTCAGGTTACATTCTTTTTTGGATCCTCAGCATTTCAATTTTGGTTCTCTTCATTGAAGAAAATTTTTAACTTTGAGTAATTTTTGTGTGATTTGGGTGACTTTTATGCCATGTTCTCCACGATGACTGAATATCTCTTGACAACACTGATCTGTATGGGTAGACTTATTCGTAAGTACAGTCTTTTTGAAACAATAATATGGTGATATCTACAAAATGTAGGTGATTAGGAAAGGACACTAACTTAAGTTTAACTCATCGCTACCTAAGCCATTTTAGAGCTATTTGCATGTTTCCATATGTTGCTAATTTGAGAATTTTGCTTATTATAAATTCAAATTCATGAACGACTAATTAACAGCTGTTTCAGGATATAAAAGAACTGATTGCTATAAAGTTATTGGAAAGGTAAATTGTATGATTTTTCCATCTCTCCCAAAGTGTTTGACATTTTATTCACAAATATGTGTCAGCTAGACAGTAATGGGTTATACGAGATCAAGAATAGATTACATCATTTCTACCATAATTGAAATCAAAACATTCATGCGCAATTTGAACCATCAGACAAAACCAAAGACAAGTATTGACAAGCGGATCCATGCCTCCACTATAGAGTACATTTTAAAATGAGCTATAGGATTGGCCCCTAAAACTGATTGTAGACCCCTAAAAATGCATGTTTTGGGGACCCAGCTGGCTTCCTAAAAAACGTTAAGCATAAGTGCTGTATATATATATATATATCAATCAACACATACAGATCTATACAAAAGAAAGCCAATCTTTCCCAAGCAAATTGCAGGAATTGTTAAAGGCATAAGTACCACAAATCAATAATCGAAAGCCATGAAAAGTAAAACAACTACAAAGAGATACTTAAATAGTGAAATATAATCAAACATAAAAAAGAGGACCTTTACTGTATACGATACAATGTGCATTTAAACAGTAGTGGAACAAAGAGAATTCATGAGGAAATTACAGTAGTACAGTACCTTATTTAACAGATACTTGGTAGCTTACATTCCATCCAGAGTTGATGACTATTATGACTGCAATAAACACACTTAAAAATCCAAAACAAATCTAAAATGCATATACTTACAATGACACTGTGATGAATTCAAAACTCCAGTTAGAAAACCCTATGTCTAAGGCACTTGCTATTCCTGAAACAATTTGAACAAATTTCATTTTCAAAATTTTCAGTACAAAAGAACATTTATGTACATTAGTGATTTTGTTTTATCAAAACAATCATTTATTAGATACTTTAAAATTAATGATCAAAATATGAATGTTTTAAGTTCTCTTGTGAAATATAAGTTGTTAACATGTGTGAATAATACAAAATTTGAAACATAAATATAACTTAACACAAGCAACAAGATGTTTTCATGGACCTACAGTTTTTGTAAATTAAAGTATTAAAATTAATTCAAACAAGACCAATAGCATAACTCTATTATTTTCACTTTCAAAAAATATTTAAACAAGATTTTAAATTATTTTTTTACAAAAATAAATGGATAGTTATTTCAAATAATAACAAAGTTACATTGCAAATTATTAAGAATTTGCTTCGTTCTGCTTAATTTTTCTTTTGCAAATAAATTTGTGAAAGTCAAAATAATTTAATAAAATTCACAAAACAAATCCCAAACAAAAATATAGTTTAAGGTTAACATATATTAATAAATAATAAAACAGAAGTTAAATGTAACTCAATTTTTTCAATAATTTCAACTTGGATCTTGTTTCAAAAGTCCACTGAAAATTTGCTACATAAAACCCCAACAGTAATCATATCTTGTATTCATCACATCAGTCTTAGTTTTTTACAAGTTTAATCACTCTCTTATTTTTGAAGTAACCAATGCTACAACAGTTCTAAATATAAACAGTACCAAATACATATAATTTTTTCCTGAAGAAGAATAGTGAACTATTCAAAAGTGCTCGAGTTGAGATGCCAATACAGGTTATCATTAACACAAACAGAAAGGAAAACCTATAATTATTGCAATTAACCCTTTCCAGACAGATCATGAGTCAAAGGCCATGTCACTGTGTTTGTTGACTCTCATTCAAAATTTTATTGAACTACTATTTCATGAATTTAGGTTAATAAGTTTGGTATCAAACTGTAGAGTATAATTCAAATTTTAGTATTATACATTATTCAATTTCTTAATTTAAAAGTAATTATTAAAAAACACAGGTAAATATTGATTTTTGTGTGTCATGTGGTATATTGGATGCAGCACTAGTTCAATTTCGATGTTTGTGATGTCAAAATACTAAGTCTATAGTTTCGTACAAATTAGGAATTCAAAATACCAATATTGACAGGCTAGTATGTAAAATAAGAACCTCTTATGTTTTTTATTTGCTAAGATATTGCTCATGTACCAAATCAAACACAGTGGCCCCCGCTCACCTCTTTCCATTTTTGGAAATGCTCCCTTACGTACACTTACTTCAATATCTTTGACATGAATTACCAATCAAAAGCTAAGAATGTCCCCTAGTGCCTTTTTCAGCCATTTTAAATTGTTAGGACGCCATCTCGTTCTTCCGAACCAAGATTTCCAGGAGGTAGGTTGCTTCTTTAGACCGAAATACAGCTTAGTTACTACGCTTGATAAATTATAGTGGAATTCTATGGTATTAATATAGTATTTTATGATTTTTTTTGTTATTCAACTGTATATATATATATATATATATATATATATATAA